AGCGAGATAAGAGAGTGACAAACAAGATGGAGGGAGGCGAGGGTGGGAAATTTGTCTATGTATAGTAGATACATGCGAATCTTCTTGAATAAAGTGTATCTAGAACAAATTAACCTAATTTTGAGTCCATATATTTCGAGATACATGTATCTGTACATACCAAAATTTCATAAGATTCATAATAATCAACATAATGTATATTTTAATAATGAGATCATACTGGTGAGAGTATTGTAAGTTACACCTTAAATAAATAGTTTTGGCCCATGAGTCAACTCCGACCCAGTCCCGATCAAACCTCAAGGATCAGGAACTTATATGGGTCGAGCTTACAAGTTCTAATTTTAAATGGACTTGAAAAATCTTATCCCAATCCTACCCCAGTAACAGATTGGGTTGGACCGGCCCATAGACTTAGCTCATTTTGACGGGATTATACAATTTTAATATCTTTTATACAATGATACACTTTTATATAAGATAGATGTATAATATATAAACTTTTAATATTCCCATTAATTAAATAGTCTGATATATTATAGTTAAATGTAGACACGACAAATGTGCAGACTGCAAAATCAGACATGTCAAAATAGATTGAGTTAATAAATGAACGAAGTTAATATGAGCTAAAACACAGGTCAAAATCTATTCGGTCCAATTCCTACTAAGTTTTAATTTCATTATTTCTCATAAATCAATTTGATTTAGATATCAACTCAATTTTGATAGATTAAAATATATTTGCTTGAAAATAAACTAAACTAATAAATGAATGAATTATAACCCATTCAAACTTAAATAAATTAAATAGATTATAATCTCATGATTTAATTTTGTTACCGATATTTAAATGTACAAGAATCTTTGACAATGTAAGTTGCCCATATTTTTGTTATATGTAATAGTATTTCATAACGTCAAGCAAGAATGAGTTCAAACTTAAAGGGAATTTTCATTTTTGGCAACACTTATTTCTTTTCTATTCTCTTATCTGGTTAAATTGTCTAATTTTTTAAAGACTGATTCAATTAATTTAGATTCGTATTATGTAGAATTATTTATCTATTATGATTTTTTTATTTGCACAACTTGAATTCGGAATATTTGACTAGGTATAAAAAAATCTTATTTAGTAATTATAGTGTATTGTTATCCTTACTTGGTGAAAATCTATAATGTTTGTTTTTGAATAATTGAATCTTAATTATTTCACGATAGCATTTGGTGACCTCTTATCAATAATTTAATTCGAGTAACAAAGTATTTATTATTATTTTTTAAATGATACGACAACACACTTGATGTAATATCACATGGAGTAAAAAATGGATCATATATACATGAATTTACCCTACTTTATGAAGATATAAAAACTATTTTAGAATGAAATAATTTCAACTATTTCACTATAGTCTTTCGTGATCTCTTATTTCGAAATTCAACTGACGATAAGTTTTTTGTCCTGAAATAATATAAACAACAATAATATACGCGATGAAATTCTATTAATAGAGCCTGAAAAAGTGATGAGCACGCTATAATTTCCTACTTTGAGAGGCTGTTTCTGATAAATTATCGATTCAAGTAGTACGTATCGAAGATCAAATGTATAAAAAAAATAAACGATAACAACAAATAATATAACAATCGAACTCAAATAAACAATAAAATAACATTTTTAAAAAAAAAAAAAGTCATTTTCAAAGAGGCAAAGAGTGATCTGTTAAATTGTGGTCCTCCTAACATGTATTGCTGGAATTACCAATGCTTAGCCAAAAGGCATTCATGAATGAATCCACAAATATCACTACTTTTTTCTTAGGAATCATATTTATTATGTCAAAAAAAATTTAATATATATATGTACACAAAAAAATAATGAAATTTGTGTTTTCATATAATTATTATTTATATTTTAGACTAAGGTTAAAATAATTTTGTTTAATAGGTATAATGAACTTTTAATGAAGTAAGTATACTAAAATTTTGCATGTGAATATGTACAAATTTGTAGTAACTATTAATCGTTTCATTTCATAATTAAAGGATAAAAATATGTTATTATTCCCTAAGAATATTATCTAAATATTTCAATTTAAAATTTGGAATTTCTACTAGTTATTTTAACCATATAAGACATGTGGATTGGAGTCCAATAACACTATTTATTCCCCTTTCCACAAATAAAATTTATAGTTTTCATGCATTATAAAGAAAAAAGATATTTCACTTTTTTTTGAAAACCTCCAATAGTGCTTTGCAATTGCAAAACTTTTTGAAGATTTATTCAAGCTTCCACTAATGTGTATATATATATAATTTGTAATGGAAATTTTATTTATTGTTTAATAAAAAGGGAAAAATTAAAAGATGCTTGATAATAATAATATTAATAATAATAATATATTATTGTGATTTTATAGATGACTGTCTAGAGAAAATAGAATATATATAACTTCACTTTATTGAGTTAAAAAGATGAGTTTCACGCCTAATAGGTAAAAAATATCGAACAAAAAATTCAAAAGGGTATATGAATTTTTTTTAAAAATTAAAACGTAAAATCGCTGGTGATGTAGCGATATAGGTGGAGGACGTTAAGGAAAATCGTTGCAGTAGCAGCGATTTGTAAAATTTATTTTTTTTGGTATCGACTGTAAATGATTTTTAAAAAAAATTGTAAATCGCTGCATGTGCAGTTATTTTACTTAATTTTTTAAATTTTTTTTGAAGTAAATCGCTGCATTAGGCAGCGATTTCACCTATTTAATTTTTTTTATTGTAAATAAATTATAATTAGCCAAAAATAATCATATTGTCAAACTTCCAAATTCACATTTCACATCCAGACATAAATATTAAAATGCATTTGAATTTTTTTTGTACAAACTTGACGTGTTATTTACTTCAAAATTTTAAAAAATAAAATTAAGTGAAATCGCTGCCTTGGCAGCGATGATTTGTTAAAAAATATTAAAAGAATAAATTTCACAAATCGCTGCTACTGCAACGATTTAGCTTAACGACACCACCTAAATAGCTACACCATCAGCGATTTACCGTTTGGTTTAAAAAAAAATTCATTTACCTTTTTAAATTTTTGTCAATATTTTTTACCTTTTAGTTTGGGACTCTTAAAAAGAGCTTATTTCAGATACATCCTTTAACTCGAAAAATTCTTATACGAATTTTCTAATGTAATAACAAGAGATGGAGAAATTATAATTTATGGACAGTAATATACAAAATATTTTTTATTGCTTATTTGATTTGTTGCAATCAAATTATCATGCACTATATATTTTAAATTAGGTTGTTAACAACATTAAATAATGGCTAACTATATGAATGGTTATTTTTTTCAATTCGTGTATTATTAATTCCACATTTTAATTATAATACACTACATATAACACATTATTTGCTGTATAATTTATGGGGTATTAGTTATAAAAAAGTGAAAAATTAGAACAAAAGAAATTGTGAATAATATTAAGTTCTTAGTGATAAATGAAATCAAATCATAATAATGTTATATTTTTTTATAGATGAGATTTATTTTTCAAAGTACTCCCAACCAAATGTTACCTTATTTTCTAAAGAAAACAAATATAATGTCTTTTCTTGAGTTGCACTGCTACTATTTCACCCACTTTTTCACTTTAATATTTATATTAATCTTCAATTAAATTTAAATTCATACACTTATATAATTTATATTTTAAAAAAATATTCTTAATAAAAATTTCTGATAAAAAATCATGTCATCTCAAATCTCAACCATCCAATCACAGTCCATATTAAATTCATCCACTTTTCTTGAGTTGCACTACTACTATTTAATTCTTTTTTTCATAAAATTTTGTGGACATAATAAATAAATGAGAATAAAAATAAAAATAAATAAATCAGATAGCGTGGGATTAACGCAGACCAAATGCAAAAAAATATTCTATATGGACCCATCTCTTTGTGGCATTTTACTTTCCAATCTGTTACTCAAATTGACATTTTTATTTTTATTTTTAAAAAATAAATATATATATATATATAACAAAAGTAATATATAATTAAGTTTTTAAATATAGTAAAAAGGGAATATATTCCTTTTAGCTCAGCTTGCTTTTTCAAGCGAAGCCATATTGTAAAATAATATATAATACTCTATACAAATAAAATAAATAAATAACAAAAAAATAAAATAAAATAATACAATAACTCAAACAACTTATAATGAGTGTTAATAGTAAATTAACCACTATCAAAGTAATGAGAATGAAGATAAGTTATTAATAAAAAGCGTTTCTTTTTTTACCGGATTTTACATAGTGTGATTTATATTTTTATCGAAATTTCAGAGTGAATATGAATATTCAATTAGAAAAAAGAAATGATATGAATCCATCTTTAAGTTCTCTTATTACCGTTATACCCTATTAGTTTTACAAATTCTCAAAATTTCTTATTTTCACGCATCAAATTAATGTATCTCGCGTATCAAATTAATGTATTTCGCGCATTAGACTGGTGTTCATGTATAAAATGTACATCAGATTAGTGTATCATGTATAAAATGTAATGTATCTTAATTAAAACGATTAGTATATCTCGCGCATCAGTATGAGCGCTCATATTATTGTATCCGTTTAAGAAATTTTTGTAATTATAAACTTATAAGGTACAAATAATAATTTTACCTTAAAAGTATGTAATTTTTGTCCTTTGTCTAGTAATACAATAGTAATAAATTAAAGCTAAACAAATTTTAAAAAATATTCAAGACATAATATATAGGTATCAAAAATAAAATAATTGAATTATTTCGTATAACTATTTATATACGCATCAAAAACAAAATGACCGCATTATTTTGTATCACTATTTATATAGTAATATAATTTTTTAACGAAAGATATTCTGATTACTCGCTATGCCACGAGAATATCGTGGTCGGTCAGCAGCTTAAAGCTTAAGGCTTAAGCCGACGGCTTAATTGAAAAATACGCGGCGCCAAGTCAAGTCACTCACACAATAATTAGTGTGTACGATAACCACACAATAAAAATTCCCTTCCATTGAGAAGCCACCTTTATTAAGGAGAAGAGCTCCTCTAGTCTTTAAGATTCACATAAAAACATCTCTTTCTTATTGAGCCTTGAAGCCCTTCTTGAAATCTCTTTGAATTTTTCAAATACAATCAAAATGGTGAGTTAACTTTCAACCCCTTTTGCTTTTCTTTGCATTTTAAATTTACTTTTGATTACTTCTTGTTTTGTTAATTCTTGATGTGTGTGTGTTTTAGTATGGAGATTTTGTGAATGGGTTTAGTTTTTGATTGATCTGATTAGTTAATCTATGTGGGTTTTGGTTAAAATAGTGATCTTTATGGGAATTTCACTGTTGGTTGTCTTCTTGTTTTGCTTTGTTTTTCCTGCTGTGTGTGTGTGTGTTAGTAGAGAGATTTTGCGAATGGGTTTAGTGTTTGCTTGATCTGATTGGATAATCTATATGGGTATTGGCTAAAAAACTGATCTTTATGGGAATTTTACTGTAGGTTGTCTTCTTGTTTTGCTTTGTTTTTCCTGTTGTGTGTGTGTGTGTTAGTAGAGAGATTTTGTGAGTGGGTTTAGTGTTTGATTGAATCTGATTAGATAATCTATATGAGTGTTGGCTAAAAAAGTGATCTTTATGGAATTTACACTGTTGATTTCTTCTTGTTTTGCTTTGTTTTTCTTAGTGTGTGTGTTAGTAAAAGCATTTTGTGAATGGGTTTAGTTGTTTATTTGTGATTGTGATTGATATGATAAGATTATCTACATGGGTATTGGCTAAAAACTGATCTCTATTGAAATTACAGTGTTGAATTCTTCTGGTTTTACTTTTGTTTTTCTTGGTGTGTGTGTGTGTGTTTGTTTGTTTTGTAAATGAATTTAGCTTTTGATCTATGATTGATCTGATTAGATAATTTACATGTGAGTTGGCTAAAAAAGTGATCTTTATTGAAATTTTCACTGTTGATGTCTTGTTTTACTTTTGTTTTTCTTGGTGTATGTCTGTTTGTTTTAGTAGAATGATTTTGGTAAATGGGTTAAGTTTTTGATCTGTGTGATTGATCTGATTAGATAATTTATACGGGTGTTGGCTAAATAAGTGATCTTTATGGAAATTTCATTGTTGATCTTTTTTTTTGGTGTGTTAGTAGATGATTTTGTAAATTGTTTAGTTTTGATCTATGATTGATGTGATGAGTTAAATTACGGGTATTGGCTAAAGAAGCTGATCTTTATGGAATCTTTGGGGTTACTTCAACTTGAAATCTTGTGAACTTATGGGTTGATCTGAGTAATTGATTAGTACATGCAGTTGTTATAATTGAAAATTTTGGTTTAATTTTATCTGGGTTCTGCTCAGATTTAGTATTTAAAATTAGTTGGTATTCCATCGATTTAATGTGTTTGACAATTTTTTCTTGATCTGCTCAGTAAGAAAGTTGAGAAAAAAAAATGATTTTCTACCTAAGGGGAGTTTTTGGAGTTGTACTCTTTTGATCTAATGCATGTTTAGGATTTTTTTTTGCATTTGGATTTTGTTTTTCTATACTTGGCTGCCGTGTATATTAGAGGAATATGTGAATAAGAATGGACCCAAATTAAATCAAATGGACCAATCAAAGATCCTTCCTTTTTTCAAGTTTCTAGCTGATGATAATTGACAATTGTTTCTGGAAGAGTAATCTGCTGCCACCACTGTTTTGACATTGATACATAGTTCTAAACTAATGAGATGTGTCACTGATAACGAAATCTTGTATGGTTCACCAGTTGTCCAGTTTTGAGTGTGTGGGAGTTTTTGGTGTTGAGTTAGACCCAAGGTCCATCTCTTTAGAGTAAAAACTGTTAAAACTCGTGATGCAGTCTTCCTATGTAACCATCAGTTTGCGTCCTATTTGATACTTCAGTAGGTAGGTGACACAGAAAACAAACGTTGTATGAGTTGTTTACCTGCTTGTGCTCATCCGCTGCCAAGATTAACTTGAAACTTGACTCTCCAACCGTCCCCCTTCCAGTCACTACTCTGAATGCAGGAGTTACTCTTGTTTGCGTTCAGAGTTCGTTTAGGACAGCTTAGTAAGCTATGTTATGACAAGGATAAACTCTGGCGCTGCAGACCAATGTGACGGCATTGATTTCTGTGAATGAAACCTAGTTAGTGTTGTTGCTCGTGTCTCTTGATTTATTGTGATGGTCTCTTTTGATGTAATTCGATGAGAAGTAATGAACCGTTTTGCTTCGAAATCTTGTGATTGATTAAACATTGAACAAGTTCTAACACAAACAGAGGATTTTGGTTATTGTATAGGCTAATGCAGCGTCCGGGATGGCTGTGCATGATGACTGCAAGTTAAGGTTCTTGGAGCTGAAAGCAAAAAGAACGCACCGCTTTATTGTTTTCAAGATAGAGGAGAAACAAAAGCAGGTTGTGGTTGAAAAGGTTGGTGAGCCAGCCCAAGGTTACGAGGATTTCACTGCGTGTCTTCCTGATAATGAATGTCGATATGCTGTCTACGATTTTGATTTCGTCACTGCAGAGAATTGCCAGAAAAGCAGGATCTTTTTCATTGCATGGTACTATTCTCAATGTTCATTAAGCATTTTAAACAATATTGTTATGTATTCCTTTGGTCTCAACGTGTTTTTTCCGATTTCTTCGCTTCAAGGTCCCCTGACACATCAAGGGTGAGAAGCAAGATGATCTATGCCAGTACAAAGGAAAGATTCAAGAGAGAGCTTGATGGAATTCAGGTTGAGTTGCAAGCAACCGACCCAACCGAAATGGGACTTGATGTTATTAAGAGCCGCGCCAACTAGATATCGACTGATAGGTATCAGATGGACCTTATAAGAAGTGAAAACTCCTAATGCAATCATCTTTTTTACTTTTAAGGAAATATTTACAGTGTGACAGATACTTGGTATATTGATTGCCAAGTGCTCTACAGTATATGTACTTTTTAATGAACAAGTTCTATGGTGTTTGATATATGATGTAATTTGTTACCTTTTTTTGTTCCAAGTTTTCAACTAGTAGTTTGATTCTATAAACTAATATGTATCCATTTCTGAGGGATAAGGTACATTTTAGATTGTTTTCCTAAATCTTCTTTTGACACTTCACTTTGTGATTCTTGTTTTGGAATGGTTACAAACAAAGTTAATTGCTGTTCTAATTAGCAAGTTTGTATATTTTGATTCAACTGTAGTTTGAAAGTAGTTGTCAAGAGAAGCTGATGAACATGTACAGTGTTTTTTCCTTCAAAGATTTGATCTTTTTTTCTCAACATAATGATACAAGGGGAGTGAAGAATCTTGGTCACATTTTTCTTCTCGAGTGTTTATCAAAAACAACCTCTTTACCCCATAAAGGTAGGAATAAATACATAGTATGTTGTTGTTCACACCATGCCGCGACTACTAATGAAAAACTTATGGGCTTACACGAGTATGTTGTTGTTCACACCATGTCGCGACTACTAATGAAAAACTTGTGTATATCTATTCGACTGGATGATTGTCATTTATAGCATTACAAAAAATTAAAACGATAACATGTATTAAGTATTCGATCTAAACGGGATTATTCATCACTACCATATATACTAATCATACATATATTTTCAAATATTTACATATTTTACCCACTAATAATAATTTATACCGTATATTCATGAAGATACTAATAGGTACACATTTCTTAAAATTAAAATTGATTAATAATCTTTATATCTAAACATTCCAATGAAAGTTCCAAAACCAATCAAATATTTTCTCTCTAATCGGCCTCTCCTCGATCTCCTCCGCCGACAATATCTCTCCCCCACCCCCACTCTAGCCCGCTTATACAACCCGCTTTCTTTCTTCCACGAATGAGAGAGAAAGTAAGAGAAAAAAACACATTCTTTCTTTGCAAGATTCAATTATAAAAAACACATAATATTCTATTGATACATAGAATTAAACGTAAAATAACATATTGATCAATTTTAAACTAATCTTATCAACTAACCATATATAATCCTTGTTAAGAGAAAGAGTTATTTTTATCCACTTAGCTATCTTTGGTTGTTAAAGCCTCTGCTCTCCTTCACTGAGCTTTTCTTGAATTAGTGTCACCGCATGCTACCTGTTTGTTGAATTGCTCCGATGGCTTTCTCTTTCTCTTCTTTCCTCAAATGTCATCCATGGATTCAATCTCAAAATCCACCAAACCCCTTTTCATTTCCTCCTCCATTTCATCCTCCTAAACCCATATCTCTCCCATTTTCATCTCGCCATGAACATGTTTCTTCAACTGTTTTACCTTCTAAAGCAAAAGAACTCTTGCAAGATTTCACACCTAAGCAATTTCTCGACACCCTTCGTCAAGAAAATGATGAAACTTCAGCTTTTCATCTCTTTGAATGGGCTTCTAAGCAACCCCATTTCACAACCACTTTGTCTATATACGAGGAGATTCTAAGGAAGCTTGGAAATGTGGGATTTTTTGATTTAATGAAGGGGGTATTGGATGATATGAAGAGATTGAAGGTTGAATTAGTTGAAGGTACTTTCTTTATCTTTATTGAAAGTTATGCTAAATTTGAGTTGTATAATGAAGCTATTAAGGTTCTTGATATGATGTGGAATGAGTTTGGTGTAAAGCCTGGTACTTTTAGTTATAATTTGTTGTTGAATGTTCTTGTTGATGGGAATAAGTTGAAATTTGTTGAAAATGTGCATAGTAGAATGTTGGATGAAGGTGTAAAGGCGGATGTATCGACTTTTAATATATTGATAAAAGCTTTGTGTAAGACGCATCAGATTAGGCCTGCTATTTTGATGATGGAGGAAATGCCTATGCACGGTTTGGTACCGGATGAAAGGACTTTTACGACGATAATGCAAGGTTATATTGAGGAAGGGAATTTAGATGGTGCATTGAGAATTAGGGATCAAATGGTGTCAGCTAAATGTCTTGCAAGTAATATTACTGTTAATCTTTTGATTCATGGGTACTGTAAAGAAGGAAGGATTGATGAAGCTCTGAACTTTGTGCAAGATATGTGTAGTCGAGGGTTTTCTCCGGACCAATTTACATTCAACACTTTGATAAACGGTTTGTGCAAAGCAGGACACGCTGTCCAAGCCTTGGATATTTTGGATTTAATGTTGCAGGACGCGTTTGATCCTGATGTATATACTTATAATATTTTGATTTCTGGGCTTTGTGAAGTTGGTGAAGTCCAAGAGGCTATGGAACTTCTCAATCAGATGCTTGTAAGGGACTGTACACCAAATACAGTCACTTATAACACCATCATTAGTGCTTTGTGTAAGGTGAACCAAGTCCAAGAAGCTACCGAGTTTGCTCGCGTTCTTACGAGCAAAGGGTTCTTACCTGATGTTTGCACTTTCAATTCTCTCATACAAGGTCTCTGCTTTACCGGCAATTTCAATATTGCAATGGAAATGTTTGAAGAAATGAAGGACAAAGGTTGCCAGCCAGACGAATTCACCTATAATATCCTAATTGATTGTCTCTGTGCCAAAAGGAGAATAGGTGAAGCTTTGAACCTACTCAAAGATATGGAATCGAGTGGCTGTGCAAGAAGTGTGATAACATACAATACTCTGATAGATGGCTTCTGCAAAGACAAGAAAATTGAAGAAGCAGAAGAGATTTTCGACCAGATGGAACTACAAGGGGTTTCTAGAAACCTGGTCACATATAACACTCTGATTGATGGTCTTTGTAAGAGTAAGAGAGTAGAAGATGCTGCTCAGCTTATGGATCAGATGATACTGGAAGGACTAAAGCCTGACAAATTCACGTACAATTCCATTCTTGCTCATTTCTGCAGAGCAGGGGATATAAAAAAGGCTGCAGACATTGTGCAAACCATGACATCAAATGGCTGTGAACCAGACATTGTTACGTATGGGACCTTAATACAGGGACTATGTAAAGCAGGTAGGGTTGAGATTGCAAGCAAGCTCCTCAGGAGTATTCAAATGAAAGGAATGATTTTGACCCCTCAAGCCTATAATCCTGTAATTCAAGCAATCTTCAGACGGAGGAAAACCAATGAAGCCGTAAGACTCTTCAGAGAAATGCAGGAAACAGCTAGTCCTCCTGATGCTTTATCTTATAAGATTGTTTTTCGTGGTCTTTCTTCTGGTGGGGGACCGATTCAAGAAGCTGTTGATTTTTCTGTTGAGATGATGGAAAAAGGACACATACCTGAATTTTCCTCATTCTACAATCTGGCTGAAGGACTGTATTCTTTGTCGAGGGAGGACACGCTAGTTAAGCTTGTTGGCATGATCATGAAGAAAGCAAACTTCTCAGACAGTGAGGTTACTATGATTAAAGGTTTCTTGAAAATCCGGAAATTCCAAGATGCACTGGCTACTCTTGGCAGTGTCCTAGATAGCAGATACCCAAAAAGGACATACTGGAGCTAAAGAAATCATCCAAAATAGAGGTTCCACAAAGTAGGAATCAAACTGTATCAGTTGCTTGCTATGATAGTAATCGGTGTCTAATTTTGTCCACTCAGTTTGATAATGGTTTCATTTTTTGGCCCATCTCCGAAATAACCTCTTCAATGAGTTACAACTTAAACACTGTGGACATTTCCCATCTTAATACAGTTCTCTAGAAGGCTTAAGTAATGTATTCATATATTGTCGCTGATTTCTGCTCTTCAATACATGCAACACAGAATTCTAACTGTATGAAAGCCATCTTACTAAGTTAATGTCAGAAGTAGTGGTTTTTCTTGATCAGCAGGATACAGACCGTGTATATGTTATTTGCTTCTCTAAAGTTTCTGAAGCTGTCTCTCAATTAAGTTGTTGTTCATCCACCCTTTGATCTGTGAGACTAATGTATTCAGTTACATTTATCTGTGCACACCATTTTCCTTTTCAGCACTGTAAGCTCACTCCAATAAGCCTCATTTCTCTTTTCTTATAATACATGAAAATTCCAATACAAGAAACGCCAAAATCATTGTTATAAAGAAGAACTTGATATAGGGGTAGGGGTTGCTGTTAGCTGGTAAATTAACTGAAAATTTAACATAGTAAAATCATCCTAGTTAATATAAGTTTCTTGTATGAATCCACTTGACCTGAAAATATCTTGCACAAACTATGAACGCATACTGGAGGACATAATCAATCAACCTCCCGGTTCTCAACTTCTCATTGCCTACCTTCAGTTTAACTTAGTTAGGTAGCATGGGAAAAAATCTGCATGATGGCAAGCATGTTTTCTGTCTTCATGAATTTCAGTTCAATGAAAGTTAGCTTGGATGAACGCATTGAACCCTAACTCAGAAGGTATGTCTTGTTCTTCTGATTTTTGTTGGTTCGATCATATTAACTTCAAGCCCTGTAATCATTGTATTGGTTGCAGATTCATTAAGATGCATTGTACAAGCTTGTTTCCTTAGACAAGTTGGATAAGTCTTTAGCTCCAAGTGGCTAAGTTTACCTAAAGGCCAAAGTCAGTCTTGCTTGAGTCCTCGGATCATGCTGACCACATTTTGCTTCACTTCAGTTGTTCAAGCTGGTAAATAGTTTTCCTCTTTCTCAAAATTTACTTCAGCTTTTCTTCAACATGAGCTTTATGAAGCCTTTGACGACTTGTACGAGGCATCAATAGGGTGCATTATCTTGGTATAGGAATCATATTGCTCTTGGCTGCTCAGGAAGGTGGTTAAATAACTATAGGGAAATGTGTGCAAGTGACGTTGCTTCATCGATGTATGATAGTAACCTCTGAAGTAGACTTCTTCTCAGAGATATGGTTGGGAATATGAACGTCTTCCGAGTTCAAATCTCGTCCCTGGCTTAGTTTTAAGCTGTGGTCACCAGCTGCTTTCACAATGTTAGTTATATCAGAGAATATATGTCCTGCCCTTCAATATCATCCAAATGCATGAAGATGGAATCAGAGACACACACTAGATGTTTGAACCAGTAATATGTTCCAATTCGAAGTAGTGACATTGTTCATTCACATAACTGCTCCTTGCCTCCTCATCTTTAATTTCAATTGGATTCTAATTTTATTCAAAATATGTTTGATGTTTCTTCATTGATGATTCAACGGAAATCTGGCATTAGAAACTTAGAGTGAGTTTTTGTTTAGCTAGCTTGAACATTCATTGTTTTAACTTGTTTAAGAACCTATATATCTTGTTGTGGTTCAGACATGTGTTTAAATGTATCATTTTCAATTTCAGCTGCAACACTTGGTGTAAGTTCATCTACTTCAGACTTGGTAAGCAGGATTTACCTATGATTTGTTGCTTGGACGTAGACAAAACGGCCTCGTGCAATTAGTCGAGGTGCGTTCAAGCTGATCGTTGACGTAAAAAGAGAAACTTTGTTGCCTCTTTGAGAATCTAAAAAGCAGTTAAATAGTGCTCCATCAAGCATAAAGTTTATATATTGACTATGTAGTGGCATAGTTGGGTAGATTCTCTTTGTAATGATGCCTAAGTCTTTGAGTAAAGAGACCAAAAAGTTCTAAAATTTGAGCTTTTGGTGTACTTCTTTGTCAAAGCTTTTCAAACAAAAAGATATACTTTAAAAAGATTATTTTCATTTACTATATTTTCTTTTCATACTTAATTTTGATATGTATTTGTATCGAGTTCTATCAGAAACCTCTCTAACTTCATAAATGGGTTAAGGTTGCATACGAAACCACCTTCCTGAAACTTCATTTGTGAGATTATATTAGGTATGCTATTGTTGTAATTCACGTCTCTAACTTAAAATTTGATGTTGCCCTCTTACAAATCTTGTAAGTTTTCATTGTATCAACTTTGCAAATATTTTGTATTTGATACATTAATAATTAGTAATTAAAAAAGGGATAGTTTCAAATATATACCATTAATTAGTTAGAACAAATATAATCATATTTTTATTTACATAAAAATAGTCCAAAGTTATTGGAAGTATACACTAGCTACACACTAATTATACATTATGATACGTATAAGTTTTCATTTCATCAACCTTGCAAATATCTTGTATTTGATACATTAATAAATTGGTAACTAAAAATAGGGATAGTTTCAAATACATACAATAAAGTAATTAGTTTACGACAAATATGATTATGGTTTTATTTATATAAAAATAGCGAAAAGTCATTGAAAATATACATTAACTATACATCAAGTATACATCGATGATAGATTCAAGAGTAGACTTTAGCTTATTGAGCTATACATTGATTATACATAATGATAAAAAGTTGAATATACGTTAACTATACATGAAGTATACACTAATCATTTATCAAATTATTTTTTTCTCATAGTTTGTTAGGCTAATTGAAAAAGAACAAAAGGGATTAAAAATAGTTAAATGGAAGAATGATTATGACAAAGGAGGTGATTTTTAAAGCAAAAACGATTTTACTGCAAATAATTTTATTTTTTTCTATTTGGTTCTGACTAACTCAATATCTTCTCTAAACAATATCAAATTTTAAATATGGAATCTTTTTAATATTTTCAATCTTTTGATATATAATTTACTCAAAACGATTTATATTTACAGTCCAGATAATTTTTTAAAATTAAGCTTTGAAACTTTAATGATTGGGATTGATCATCAAAGAAGAAGGGACAAACAATTAATGGCTAAAGTAGGAAGGAGAGTGACCATTTTTATCCCATAAAAACAATGATTTTTTGACAAAAAAAAAATTTTTTTTGGGCAATAATTCAGAATTTTTCAATTTTTAATGTGCCATATTAATGATGACAAATGACAATAATAAAAAATATATAATTACGTTTTATGTACCTTTAATTTATGATTAAACATTCAAAAGTAATTTTTACTTTCTACCAATTAAAATCAAATAAATAAATTAAAACATAGAAAATTATCCTGATTAATCTGGCAAAATACAAATTAGCATATAATTTGTATAAAATTTATAACAATATAAATATGTGTGTATAAATATCTCTTTCTACAACTACTATATATTTTTTATACAAGCTTATACATTATGTAGAGTAAATATATAATGTTACATAATATTATATAAACATCGTTGCGGAAAAAAATAGGTATAACACAAAATATAAATCACAATTACCTAAATACACATATTATTTTACCATGATTTCAAAAACTTTCTATCATTTAAAAAATTACAAAAATTTCCTCTCGCATACCTTCCTATTCTCTCTCTCGAATACATTCATGAGCTATGTATACCCAGATTTCCTAAATTACAATGTATTATGACTTATATATCCACGTGTCAGTTTATATATCTGAAATCCTTTAATTTTAGAGAATTTTTATAATTCGGAAAAGAGTAGGGTTATATAATGTAATCATTTTTAATTAGATTGCACATTTTAAAAAAAATCAAAATTAAAAATCGACATTTCACAAAAGTTTGGGGGTAAAAGTAGCGTTTCGATAAAATAAAAGGACCAGTTTCATTGAACCCTTGTAAACACATCATATTTTGCTCTCACTTAGCTATTTCTCACATCATATCAAGTTTTTAGGGCAAACAATAGAGAGAGAGAAGGAGATTGCGGCACCCACAAAGCATCCAAAATCCACTGGTAATAATCACATCAGACCATTTTCTTTTCTTAATTTGCAAATTTTTGGTACAGTTTCAATCTGGTATGAGTAGATTTGAATACATATATGTGTGAAATGCCCATTTGGATTTATAGATGTGTTTACGTACTTGAATCGTGCGATTTATGATGTGGGGTTCTTTTTATTTACATGGAAAGAATGAGATTTTTGTCGGTTTTTATTGGTTGTAACTATTTGGGTATGGGTGAATTAGAGCGGAGTGGGTGTAGAGGATTGATATGTGTGACTTTACTGGTTTGGGGTAGAGCTTAGTTGATTTAATTGATTGATGGGGTTTTGTTAGATTTGTGCCCAGGTGATAAAAGATGATTAAGAAACCTTTTCTGGGTTTTGGGTCGAGTGGTGAGAGGGTAATTTGTGTTGTATGGTGAGGTGCACTCGCGGGTTTGAAACAAGACTTGGTGTTTAAGTGGAGAAAGGTGTAATAGGCGGGCACCTAGTTTAGAGATTTCTTGGTTATAAGATTGGTGAATAAAGAAAACATTATTCTGGTATGATATTTGGTTTCTTAGGGATGGGGTTTGAGTGGAGTGGGGAGGAAATGAATCTAGAGTTTTGACCTGTTTGAACTATTGATTGGGTTTTGTTGTATGTTGTCCTAAAAACACTACTACTGAGTATATGGATTTAGCATATATGGTTTTGCCTGTGTTGATGGACATCTCTGCCATTTGTCTCATCCAACTGTTCCTTTGCAGGTGAAAGATCATCGAAATGGCGACTTTTGCCAAACCGGAGAATGCTTTGAAGCGTGCTGAAGGTTAGTGGAGTTACTATCTTCATCTGTTTTAGCAAATATCTTTTACGGAACTACTCAAAGTTTACTTTGAGTTGTGCACTAGTATTATGGGTTCTGTACACTTGCTAATTTTGTCTCAAGTGATGGGTCTGAGATTTTAGGAGGGGGTTATATGTTCACAGGGTGAGGGTAGTCTAGATGATTCTTAGTAATATTGAAGAGTGAAAATTTTGAAACTCTAGTTGTTTTTATAGCAAATTTTAAATCTTGGCATGCTGATGAGTTTAATGTTTTGATGCAGAGTTGATCACTGTTGGACAAAAGCAAGAAGCCCTTCAAGCACTTCATGATCTTATTACTTCAAGGAGGTATAGAGCATGGCAAAAGACTCTTGAAAGGATAATGTTCAAGTATGTTGAGCTATGTGTTGACATGAGAAGGGGGAGGTTTGCCAAGGATGGCCTAATTCAATATCGTATCGTCTGTCAACAAGTGAACATTAACTCCTTAGAGGAGGTAATAAAGCACTTCATGCATTTAGCTACTGAGCGAGCTGAACTAGCTCGCAATCAGGCACAAGCTCTTGAGGAAGCTCTGGATGTGGAAGACTTGGAGGCTGATAAAAGGCCTGAAGATCTTATGTTGAGTTATGTTAGTGGGGAGAAAGGAAAAGATCGATCTGATCGGGAGCTTGTCACTCCCTGGTTTAAGTTCTTGTGGGAGACATATAGAACTGTTCTGGAGATCTTGCGTAACAACTCAAGATTGGAGGCTCTGTATGCAGTAAGTTTCCATTGCACTACTTTTAGTTATGTGGTTGAATAATTAGACTGCTTTTATGTTCTGAGGTGAGGAATTTAATTACCCGAATTTTCTCTGTTTTCAGAACTTGTTTTAGACTGTAATTGAGTAAGCAGATTGATTATCCATTTTTTCTTTTCTTTCTATTTGCTTGCCTGGACAGTTATTATGCTTCTGAGTAGTAAATCAGAAATCAGTCCTTTTTTACTTCTTATTCACAAACTTAGCGGGAGTCTCTCTCAGTTTGCAGGGTATCTGTCTATGTACTTTGTTTAGTACAGATATCAGTTTTGTCAGAACAAGTTTATTATTTATTGATATGAAAGTTCATATATATCATCCTGTTGTAAAATTTTTTTGTGCCTTAGAACCAAATTTGTCCTGCATGCTATTTAAGCTTTCTGCATGGCGGATTGGAAATTCTTTACTCTCTCCATCTTTAATTGGCACATCTTTTTTCCGCTGAAAGATAGGTTAATTAATTTTCAAACCTAATTTGCTCAGATGACAGCACACCGAGCCTTTCAGTTCTGTAAGCAATACAAGCGTACAACAGAATTTCGCCGTCTTTGTGAAATCATCAGGAATCATTTGGCAAATCTCAACAAGTATAGAGATCAGAGGGACCGTCCTGATCTGTCTCTTCCAGAAAGTCTGCAATTGTATCTAGACACTAGATTTGAACAGCTGAAAGTTGCTACTGAACTGAGTCTATGGCAGGTTATTACTTTTTCTGATAGATTGTAAGCATATCTTTTTGTCCCAAGAGAGTGAATTTCATATGTTCTAATTTTTCTTTGATGCAGGAAGCTTTTCGTTCCATTGAGGACATATATGGTTTGATGTGCATGGTTAAAAAAACTCCCAAGGCGTCATTAATGGGTGTTTACTATGGAAAGCTTACTGAGATATTTTGGATGTCATCAAATCATCTTTATCATGCTTATGCCTGGCTCAAGCTTTTCTCTCTTCAGAAGGGTTTTAATAAAAATTTAAGCCAGAAGGATTTGCAGTTAATAGCATCGTCTGTTGTCCTAGCTGCACTTTCAGTGCCTCCTTATGATCAGTCTTATGGTGCATCTCATCTTGAGCTTGAAAATGAGAAGGAGAGGAGTTTGAGGGTGGCCAATCTAATTGGTTTTGAAGTTGAACCCAAAGCCGAAAACAGAGTGGCGGTAATTTCATTCGCGATTATGTTATTTAGTTCCTTTTTTTTATGAAGATGTTATTTAGTTCTTTATTTATAATGTCTTACTTCGGCTAATCAGCTTCAGTTCTCTTGCTGTTTCTCCTTTTCAGCTTTCTCGATCATCACTTCTCTCAGAGTTGGTGAGTAATGTTATATGTTCTTTTTTTGAATTTAGCGTATGATCGTTCAATTTTTTCAGTTAAATTCCTTTTATCTATTTTAATTTCAATGAACCAATCGAATTTTTGAGTCACAAATAAGTGCAGTATACTGTTTTTGTAATTGTTTCAGTCTCTTGATTTTTTAATTGTGTGACAGTTCCTTTTGCTTTTTCTTAATTGTTTCTCCTTCTGTAGGTGTCCAAAGGTGTGATGTCCTGTGTCACTCAAGAAGTGAAAGATCTTTATCATCTGTTAGAAAATGAGTTTCTTCCTTTGGATCTGGCACTGAAGGTGCAGCCCATATTGAATAAAATATCAAAACTTGGTGGTAAGCTGTCTTCAGTTTCTTCGGTTCCTGAAGTGCAACTGTCTCAGTATGTTCCTGCCTTAGAAAAGCTTGCTACTCTGAGGTTGCTCCAGCAGGTGTGCACACTGTTTTATACCTTTTGATAAACAGCAGATCAGACATGCTCATTATTTAGGCGGAAGTCCATCTTTCAATTAAATGAGAACCCTTTTCTTGTTGCAGGTCTCTCAGGTGTATCAGACAATCCAGATTGATAACATATCTAAGATGATCCCATTCTTCGACTTCACCGCTATTGAGAAAATATCAGTTGATGCGGTTAGGCGTAATTTTCTTGCCATCAAAGTCGATCACATGAAGGGTGCTGTCTTCTTTGGCAAACAGGTATAATTGTGTTGCTTGGAATTAAAATTCATCTACTGTTTTTGTTTGTTTGTCGGTAGGGCACACCTAGATATTCCTTTCCTTGTCTTTGTCAGGGATTTTGTCAGTCCTATCAATCAGCTCTGCAGAAACATTGTTCTTCTCACTGTTTAAGTAATAGCATGGACATAGCTTGCTTATGACATCTGACTGTGTGTCGTCTGTCATCTAAAATTAAATGTTTGGAACAGTTAAATTTTGGGCTATCTAAATGTGTGTTGTTGGCATAATAAGTTTTGTAGTTACATCACTAGAATGAATCAGGCTGACTGAGCTTGTGAACTCTGAAGAGCTGTGGTCTGTTTCTGAGATCTAAGAGTTCGACTGGATTGCTATTTCTGGCGGATTCTATGTTATGGGATTATGGGCCATGGGGATGGTTTAAAAGTCTCGACTCTTGTGGATTTGTAAGTTCAGCGTTGTACCTCTGTGGTATAATATGTGATGAACTGAGGCAGGAGAATTTTTTCAAATTTTTCTCTTTAGACATTTTGAACGGATTAATCTCATGTGTCTAACACATATCATTTGCTTTTGATTTTGTTTCTAGAGTATTGAGGCTGAAGGACTCCGGGATCATCTGTCTCTTTTTGCTGAATCCCTTAGCAAGGCAAGAACAATGATCTATCCCCCAGCAAAGAAGACGGCCAAGCTCGGGGATGCCTTGTCTAATTTAGCGGAGATAGTGGAGAAGGAGCACAAGAGACTTCTTGCAAGGAAGTCCATTATTGAAAAACGCAAAGAGGAGCAAGAGCGTTTACTCTTAGAAATGGTATTGAACTTCTTGTTGCATTATGAAATGCTTGTTATTGTTGTTCTCTTGTATGAACTTTTATGACTCCTTGTTAAGGAACGAGTGGAAGAGTCGAAGAGGCGAGAGCTTCAAAAGATGACAGAAGATGCTGAGCAAAAGCGCATTGCTGCCGAGTATGAGCAAAGGAGGAGCCAGAGAATTTTGAAGGAAATAGAAGACCGAGAACTTGAAGAGGCACAAGCTATGCTGCAAGAAGCTGAAAAACGCAGCAAGAGGAAGAAGAAGCCTATTCTAGAGGGAGTAAGTGCATAATTTGTAATCCTATCCCCAAACCTTCAATTGGGAAATCTTACCTGGCTTTAATTTGATTTCAGGAAAAGATGACTAAACAGGTGATCATGGAATTGGCACTGAATGAGCAACTGAGGGAGAGGCAAGAAAGGGAGAAAAAGTTGCAGAAGTATGCCAAAACTATGGATCATTTGGAAAGAGCTAAGAGAGAAGAAGCCGCACCTCTTATTGAAGCTGCATATAAACAGCGTTTAGCTGAAGAGGCAGCTCTTCATGAACGCGAGCAGCAGGTTTGAAGATACATCATGCTTTTTGACTAAACCGCAATAACAATTCACTTTTCTCTTTAAAATGGAAAATTGATACATTATATTCTTTTTCTTTCCTAACTTTTTGGTAGAAATATTGCTGACGAATTTGCATTGTAACATACGTTTTCAGCAAGAGGTTGAATTGAGCAGGCAACGCCATGCTGGGGACTTGGAAGAGAAAAAGAGACTGGGACGCATGTTGGAGAACAAGGTCACTTTATATCCTGTCTTTTATGAATTTATGAACTGTTAGATAAAGGCTATGGATAATATAATTGAATTTATGGTTGTGGAATTGGATTAGTGCTTTTGATAACTATGCAACTTTGTTTGGTCTAAATGGAATTGGTGTAGGACTAAGTTGGAAGCTTCTGAACTTAGTGCAGGGTACTTCAGGACTTGAACTGTTTGGAAATAGAAACAGTTGGTTTTTCTTTTATTCTGCCTTCTCTCTAAGTTTTTGTATGATGTCCTTGTACTTAAAAGAAAAAGAATGGAAGCTCAGAATCCTTTGCAGCAGTTTATCCTATGATGAATGCTAAAATAGCTAGCATTAACACAATCATGTCCGGTCTATCCTTGCATCTTTTTAGGTAGCTAGACCTAACGTTAGAAATGCTAATGGACGCTACTTTCCCACTAGTTCAAAATTTGTGAAGCCACGGGCTTGCTTGAAGATTGGTCTTGGTCTCTTAACAAAACAGATCCGCTGATATGTTTCTAATTATGCAGAGGATTTTGCAAGAAAGAGTTGTTAGTAGCCGGGAAGCTGAACTCAATAGATTGAAGCAGGAGAGACGAGAAAGGATCAGCCAGATAATTCAATCAAGGAAGCAGGAGAGGGAAGCTAAGAGGAAAATGTTATTCTTTTTGCGAACTGAGGAGGAGCGTCAAAAGAGGTTACTGGAAGAGGAGGAAGCCCGCAAACGTGAAGGTACTTCGCCATTTTATGCCCCACCCACATTTTATGCATTTAATTCTTTTAGGCTAGGGAAGGAAGGTAGGCAGTTATCAAGGTGTATCCAACCTAAGAGTTAATGGTTCGGTTGGTGTGACGTGACATCTACAACTCTGCATTATAGTAGTCAAGTTGTATTTTGCACTTGAGGTTTCATAGCTACTCGAGATTAATTTGGCATCCTATGGACTTTCTGAAAATATTGCAGAGGCAGAGAGACGGAAGAAAGAGGAAGCTGAGCGACAAGCCAAGCTAGATGAGATTGCTGAAAAGCAGAGGCTGCGAATGATAGAGCTTGAAGAGAAAGAAAGACGGGAAAAAGAAGAGATCTTGCGCAGGCCTGCTGTACTGCCAAGGCCTTCTGAGCCTCAAGCCTTGGGGCGTCCAACTGAACTTGGAGGAGCTGCTCCCGTTCCTGCAGCAGCAGCTGCTGCACCTGCTGCTGGGAAATACGTTCCTAGGCACTTGCGAGGTAACGTTGATGCTGCAGGCCAGGCTCCACCTCCTGATACTGACAGGTGGGGCACTGGAAGCAAGTCAGATGATAGACCATCATGGCGCGATGAACGAAGGCCCACATCATTTGGTAGTAGTGGCTCGAGGACCAGTTGGTCATCTTCTAGGCGGTGAATGAGGGTTAGTAACTTATGAGTCGTGCAGTGGCTTATACTCAAGTCTTGCATCCTCGGCATTTTGGTTCAAGAAATTCAATTTGTTGCTTTTTACCTTAGTATGTACCAGAGATTGATTAATGTTGGGTATTATGAGCTCAAGAGTAGCAATTCTTGGCTAGGACATTTCCGACTGCATGGAGAGGGGTTGAAATTTTCGTCAGGCGATTTGATCTCGATATACTTTTTGTCGTAGCAAATAACTACTACAGTTGCTGTTATGTTCCAACTTCCTATTTTCCTTAAGTATAAGACGTTGCCTACTTTACTCCCTGCTGGTTTCATGTTTTCTTCATCCTTTCATATATATTTTTTCTTTGGCAGTTACATTTTTGCGATAGTAGTGAAAATAATACATTTCCAGGTGAAGTGTTTTGTTTCCACTTGTGGACCAGATGTTGAAGAACCAAACGATTCTTTTTATTTTGAAGTGTATTGTTAGGTGAGTAACATTTATGAATAATTCGTCATTCACGTTTTTGATATTTTTTCTTGAACTTTGTATCGAGTTAAATACATTGAAACGGAAGGAGTAGTACAGTGAAGCTACAATCTTGATGCTACAGTAAGCTAAGAAATAATAAACAAAGTGAGATACGTAGCTGAAAAAAGGGAAATAATTTGTCTATAGATTTTAACGTTGAAAGCTGAAACTTGAAAATTTAAGTACTTGAAGTTGTGTTTGGAGGAGACATACAATTTTACTTGAAAAAATTTGAAGTTTTACGAGTGGAAGTCCCAAAAATTATATTGATAACTAATTTCTTTCTCAGTTTTCCTCAATTGAGTCTATTTTTGGACCATATATTCTGCAAATTCAGTTCCATTTGATTGTACCTTTTTCACTCTCACATTAGTCATTTTTCATTGATTACTTTTAAGTTGTTGATTACAGTGTTTTAAGTCTGTAATTGAAACTTAGCAGCCAAAAAGAAAAAAAAAAAAGAAGAATATTTGTTTAGTTTACTTGATCATCTTCAAACTTACTTGAAATCATCTGGTAATCTTAACTTCAATTATTGTATATTAGTACTATGTTGCTCGGACTCTTCAAAAATGTCAAGAATCTAACACAGGTGCGACATGAAAGTGAAGAGTCTACACAACTTAGATTAGTACATAAACATTAGTTGTGTGTACTGACAAAGGCGGATTCTAAGATTTGAACTTAATGAGTTCTGAACTTTTTGAGTGTTTGATCTCAGTCAACATTTATGTATGCATTGGTTCTTCTTCTTGTGTTTTTACTGAATACTAGTCACAGTTTCTTGGCAGATTTTTTTCATTTTTGTAGTATAGTGTTGTTGATAATCTCTTGAAATGTCTGGATTGTTTAGACAGTCATGAAGATTCAAGTACTTCTTCAACGAAGGATCAAATCCAGACCCTTAAAGCAGATTTAAGGCTTCTCAGGACTTTCCTTATGTGTTCAGCTTGTCGACACATAGAGGACAGCAATGCAAAACACGCGTTGATGTATGTGTAGAAACTCTGGTGCGAAATGCAGAATCAGATTTTCAATCTCTCTACGTTAAAGAAGTATAGAGTAGTGTTTCTGCAATCTATCCTATCAACACATTTTTTGGCACATAGTATAGTGTTTTCTGCAATCTCTCCTTGATGCACCAGACGACTGTCGTTCTCTTGGAAATGAACTAAATGTGTTTGATCACTACAGTGTCGAAAGAAGGCACTTGTTATGCAAGCAGCCTGTAAGGCGGAGTATGCTATTCACTCATTATTGGTTGAGGACCCGAAAACATCTGGTGTAGTGTGGTTGAGATGTCTGATGTTGTAGAACCACTTAAAGGTCAATGACAGATCAAGAACAGTAACATTTGAAACAGTGTCTGATGTTCGACTGGTTTTCAGCTGTGAATTGTCACGAACTAATGCTCAAACGTTCCACGATGATGCAGACAATGTCATCGATGGACTTACCAGAGGGACGACAGAGCGCGATGTGATTTCAATTGTTGGCATGTCTGGACTTGGCAAGACTACTCTTTGCTAGAGAAGTGTTCAATGATGAACAGATGTTATGTATCTGAAGTGACTAAAAGAGGTAACTAATTGTTGTAGATAATCTTTGTGATATCAAGGCTTGGGATGACTACAAGATTTGGCTTCACAAATTGAATCTGATATGAAGCCTGATAATTGATCTTATAGTCCTTGAATTTTTGGTGAATCGAAATTTCGGATTATTTTTTCGTAATATGTGTAAAGACAATAAATTATTATTTGATTAAGTGCCAGTACAATTTTATCCAACATGTAGTGCAGTACTTTTTCTCTTTCAGTTTTTCATACTATAATTTTATAGAGATTTAAGGCTTAAATATGCCGTTTAACTTTTAGAAAATGTTCATTTATGTTATTAGTTAAAAGTTTGGCCCATTTATTCTATTACCGTTAAAGAAAAGACTCATTCATGTCATTATTTTTTAACGGTGATTTTGCAAAACCATTTTTGACATGTGGCAAATTATAATTCGATCACGTCATCATTTTTTTTAATTAAAAAATAAAAAAATAATTCAATTTTCATTCAAAATTTTGATTTTTTTAAAAAATTGATGACGTGGCCGAATTATAATTGGCCACGTCATCAATTTATTTAATTAAAAAAATTAACTCAATTTTTTTTCCAGAATTATAATTTTTTAATTAAAAAATTGATGACATGACCGAATTATAATTGGTCACGTGTCAAAAATGATTTTGCAAAACCATTGTAAAAAAAATAATGTCATGAATGAGCCTTTTCTTTAACGGTAAAAGCATAAATGAACCAAACTTTTAAATAATGACATAAATGAACCTTTTCTGAAAGTTCAATGACATATTTGAGCTTTATCCTTGAATTTTATAAGTTCAATTTTTATAGTTTTTAAATTGTTTCTATTGTATTTTATATGGGTTTGAATCTATTCTTTATTTCCAATAAATTTTTATATATAAATTTACGTTTCACGTAGAAAATATTAAATTTAAATGAACCTATCACTAAATAGTTGCATTTCACTATTTAACATAAAATATAATAAAGAAGAAAAAAAACCTTATAATACTTTTAAAATTTATGATTATATTTGTGTGATCATAAAACCTTTAAATTTACAATATTAAACATGAGGTAATATTTGTGTAACAATAAAAAATTAAAAAAAGTCGAAGATTTCATGAGTAAATTTTCCATCAAATTTAAATTGTTTGACTCTTAAAATATGAAAAGTGTTATATAAATTAAGACCCGGAGTACAATATTACACACTTAAATTTGGTCTCAATAGATAAAACATTAATTTAGAGAATTCACATCTACACACTTTTAAATGAATTTCTAAACACTTCAATTTATTCCTATTATATGTATAGTATATATATATGTATATCTTAGGCCAATACATAAATTTTAAAAATATTTAAATGATGATTTTATAAGTTGGAGTGTTTGATAAAATAAATTATGGTGACCATTAACCACTTGGGTTGAATCTGTAATCATGGTTCATGTGCTTATTTTTTTATATTCCTAAAAAAGTTTGTTTACTTTAAATAAAAATCAAATCTTTTTGTCTGTTTCTATGAAATAAAAAAAAAAGAATCTTGATTTGTCCCAAAATTGGAAAAAAAATATACTAAAATTTTTGTCAATAAACATTAATCTATGGCCGCTGAAGAGTTTTGTTATTGTCATATTCATCAGTTTTCTTCAGTAGCTTAAGCTTTATCTATATGTTGTTTTCTTTATAGTTCCTTTTGCCGGCAAATGGTGTCACTCAATTTCTCTCTCTTTTAACAAAAAAAAGATTTTTTTTGGTTATATATATACACTTGTGTACATAAATTTATTGGTGGGGTTTGGGTATTTTGTTGTAATTTTTGGTTTTGTTAATGGCTATGGATGAGGAAGCACCCCTTGTTGTTGAAATTTCGAAAAATGAAAACTCAATTGTGAATCATGAAAGGGATGTTTATATTCTGAGCTCTGCTTTTTTGTTGATTTTTTTGGCTTATGGGGCTGCTCAGAATCTTGAAAGCACTATTAATACAGTAAGGTTTTTGTGTGTTATCTATTTTTAATGAAGTCAATGGGGTTGTTTAGTGTTGAATTGTGATTTTGGATAGAATTTGTTTGGCTCTTATAAGTTCCCATTTCGCTATAGTTTTTGAAATTTGAGTTTTTGTTGTGATTTTTTGAATTTGAAGTTGTGTTTGGAAGTGTGTTTTACTTGTGAGTTGAAGCCCCAAAGAGTGATCAGAGTTAAAGATTAAATTTTCAAAATGTATGGCCAAATGCGAGCTTAGACGTTGAAGTGATACTGAGTTTGAGGTTTTCTTTTTTTGTGTTTCAGGAAGGAAATTTAGGGACCATTTCACTGGGGATATTGTATTTGTCATTTATGTTCTGCTCGATATTTGCTTCATTGGTGGTTCGGAAGCTTGGGTCGAAGAATGCTTTGATCCTTGGTACTACTGGCTATTGGTTGTTTGTAGCTGCCAATTTGATGCCTAATTGGTATGATTTCTTTTATGTTTAGTGCATTTTACTTTTTTAAGATTGAATCTTTGACCAATAGGGAAGGATCGAATTTTATGTATTGAGTTGTGATTATAGTTCTTTTGTAATTGGATTCGTGTTTAACAATGTTTGTGTGCTTATTTATCCTTAATGTGAATGGAAATATGAATCTTCTACTCCATTCAAATAAATATAGAGATCTATCAGATTTCATATTTCTCCTTGTGAGGTTGTGGCATTAGCCACAAAGATGTTTATTGAAGTAATTACAGAGCTACCTCTACCTCTCCTCAGTCATGTCCTGTCTAATCACCTCTCCCCAGTACTACTTCGACCTACCTCTACCTCTCCTAAGACCCATATTGCCTACCTCTCGCACTTCCTCACCGGGGCATTTGAACATCTTCTCTTCACATACCCGAACCATCTCAGTCTCACCTCTCCCATCTTGTCTACCATGGGGCCCACTCCCACCTTGTCCAGAATATCTGCATTCCTAATCTTTTTCATCTTCTGAATGTGCAGGTTCTTGACCGTCCAATACTCTGCCCCATACAACATTGCTGGTTTAGCAACCACTTTATGAAACTTAGGTTATGCCAGAAAGACAAACTGCAAGACCAGAAAGCCAGCCAAACCTATGTTATAGTCGTCCTTTTGATGTTAATAGAATTAAAGCATTATCAGGGCAAACTTTCCATCAATCTTTATGCACATACTTGTCAAGGAAGGACAATTGCTTATTAACATTGGAATTCCCTCTCCTAGGTAATGCCAGAAAGACAAACTGCAATACCATAGAAACATAGAGTCAGACTGTGGAAGAAAATGAAGAAATGCTTGAGGATGAATATGTTTTGCTCATAGGTTAACTGAATATGATAACTGAAGCCCCTAAAACAGTTAACCGTAGCAAGGTCTGCTTGCTCTATCAGAGATAGCAATGTCCTCTTGTCTCTAGTCAGTTATTGTAAATGCTTGTCTTTACAAAGCAGTCCATTAATATCAGACTACAGATGTCTCTACTTGATAGTAGTCCTAATGCATTATAGTGTAGTTAAAGCTTGAATCTTCTCCATCTCTGTGGCTGGACTTATTTAGTGGCTTATTCAAATATTCATTGTTTTCTGTTGTGGATGCAACAAATGGTCTGTAAAAGAGTTTATTGAGTTGGGTATGATGCTCGATAGATGTTTGTAGCCCTGAAGACTATGATGACTTTTAGTTGGCTCTGGATAACTCTGCTGTTCCTCCTTACCTTTCACTTGAAGAAGTAAGGAGGAACAGCAGAGTTATCTTGATTTTAGAACCAAGTTGGGAGCTGTTTGGTTGTTCCATAACAACTAAAGTCAATGTTCCTTATCAAAAAAGAAAAGGAACTAAAGTCAATATAATTTAAATGGGTATTATCTGTATTGCATCTTTGAGATTTCTTGAACAATTCTATCTTGGTTTTAGAACTCAGTGTTGTATACTAAAGTTTTTCCGTTGATAGCTCTAAGATTTAATTTCCTAGGGGAAAGTTACTCTGACTTCTTTTCCTTCAAGTTTAGTTCGATCAGGCGTAGAGCCTTCTTTTCTTTCATTATGTACCAGACGAAAGATATGCTTGGTTCATATGGTCCAAAAGTGACAACATTTAACATGATTCGATGTGCTGTTAGACAACTATTTTTTCTATTCAGACATAGAAGCAGCGGCTAAGTCATGTTCTGAAAATGAATGTTTCAGGATAATAGACAATGCATCCTACAATTGCTCTTGCATTTCTTCATTTCTCATAAATTTACTTTAGGAGCTTGGTAGTTTGGAAAATACTAATTTCCGAGGGCAATAAAGGTGCTAGGGGAATCATATGCTTACATCTGGGACTTAATGGTACATTAGTCTGGTAGCACTTCCAGTATAGATTTTACTTTCCGTAAATTCTTCTCTTTTCATGCATATTCCTGTATATTTACCATGAGACGCGTGTTCTCTTGATTTTCTAGGATATGACTTAAGTTATACTTTATTTGAAAAGATATAAATGAGCTATAGCCTATATATATCTTATTTTGGACTCGTAATGGGCCTAATGCTAAGGAAATTAGTCAATGACCTTTAAATACCTCATAAATGATCAAAACATTTTCAGAAGTTCTCTCATCTTGATTTTACAATATGAGTTTAATTCTTTCCTGATTCCTTTGAGATTTTAAAGAATAAATATTTGAAATTAATTATGTTTAAAATTGTGTTTCAGTTAATTGGCACGTACTTATCTTTCCTGCATCAAACATAGATATAAATTTAGTCCATTTTACACAATTTTCCTGTTTTCCTTTAATACTACCCATCTTTTATGGATTATGCTTTCTTTCTTAATGCTAACACTTTGTAAGGTGTTGGGTGTTTTTTTCTTGATACATGTTTGTTTAGGATGTTCGTGAATTTCAATTGTCAGCAACTGATTAAACTATCTTGTAGGTATACCATGGTCCCAGCTTCTTTATACCTTGGTTTTGCTGCCTCCATAATATGGGTTGGGCAGGTATGACTTCCTTTTAGGAGTTGAACTTTGTTTCCGGCTTCAGCATTAACCTTAATTTCGTCATTTGTGGTTAGGGAACATATCTTACTTCCGCAGCACGCAGTCATGCAAATGATCATATCTTAAATGAAGCCGTTATAATTGGTAAATTCAATGGTGTATTCTGGGGAATGTTTGCAAGCCATCAGGTACCTTTTATGCACTTTGCAAGTTAAGTTTCTTAATATATATTTCTATTCACATGATATTTCCATGCACATACGCTTCGTCATCCTGCAGCTTGTCGGAAATCTTATCACTCTTGCTTTGATGAGAGACGAAGAGGTAAACATCTACTGAGATTAAATGCACAAATGTTCAAGATCTTTTTTGTCTTTCACTCAGATTTGCTAGTTTTCTGATGCTATAGGGAGGAAGCACTAGTGGAACAACTGTACTTTTCTTGGTTTTTGTTTGTACTATAACCCTTGGTGCCGTTTTGATGTGCTTCTTAAGTAAGAGAGCTGGTAAAGAGGAGTCGAGACAGCAAGACTCCTCCGCTAGTTCTGTTTCTTCTGTGGCAACTTTGCTCAAGTCTATCATTACCCTTTTACAAGACATAAGAATGCTTTTGATCATCCCTCTTATTGCATATTCAGGTTTACAACAAGCATTTGTATGGTAATGATGCTTCTAATAGTTCATTATAGTAGAGTTTGGAGCTTCTTGTGCTGTATTTTGATTTACAATGTGTTTCAGGGCTGAATTCACAAAGTATATCGTTCAGCCTACGATGGGAGAGAGTGGTGTTGGTGGTGCAATGGCCGTATATGGGGTTTTTGATGCACTTGTAAGTATGCAAAATCAGTAATAGACTAATTCAATCGCTTCATTTTTTTTGTTAAGTAAGGATTTTATTTAAAGAATACCAACGAGCTACTAATTTTCTCTGGTAACACCAAAGATATGCCCATTATGCTAAAGAAAATTTCCCTGCATTGTCTTGAAATTTTGCAATGCAAGAAAAGATGTTCAATAGTTTCTTCCTATGAATTGCAGAAATAGCATTTGCTGCACAAGGAAAAATCTCTCCTTAATTTATTCTGTGTTTGACAAGCATCCCTAGCTGCTAGCCAACCAAAAGAAGCTGCTTTCACAGTGATTTGGTTTTCCAAATCATCTTCCAGGCCAGTGAGGCACTAAACTGTTGTAACAACATTCCTTAGCAGTTATTGACCGAGAATACCTTATCCTTACTGTTAACCCAAACTAACCTGTCTGTTATGTCTTGTTCTATTGAACGTTGTAGTAGTTGGCAAAAACTGTCTATTTCCCAATCATTTAAATTTCTTCTAAAAGTAACACTCCATCTACAAGATAACCCTCTTTATTCAAAGCACAGTTGAACAAGACCGGAAACCTGCTTTTGAAGCTCTCATTTCCACACTAAATGTCCATCCAAAATCTAATCCTCCTACCATTTCCCACCTCTAATCTAGTGACCGGTAGAAATTCATCCCATCAATCACTAATCATCTTCCAGATTTCCCCACAACTTTTCAATTGTGAAGGATTTCGTTTCCACCCTAACTTTGCACCATATATAGCATCCAAAACTTGCTGCCAAATCTCATCACTTCCCTTACTATATCTCTAGAGCCATTAAAAAAGTATTTTATCATGCATTTTCAGATTCCTTACCCGCAGTCCACCATCCTTCTTTTCTTTAACAACCGTTTGCCTCTTGATCAGTTGAATCTTTTTTTCAGTTTGTGTTCCCAGTCCATTGGAAGTTTTCCTTATAGAGTCTAATTTCCTTTCAACTGTTGTAGTCATACTGAATTAAGAGATAGTCTACGTAGGAATCCCATCCAAGGTACTGTTAGTAAGAATCAGCCAGCTCCCAAAAGATAGGTATTGCTTTTTCCATGGAGTGAGCTTATTCTTGCACCTATTAACAACCCCCTGCCAAATGCTACTGCCTTTTCTTTTTGCCCTTAAAGGCAGCCCCATAACGAGTCATAGGTTGACTCGTTTTATAGTTTGACTGTGTTTCTTTGAGCAAACTGCTGTTACTCTTTATGGTACTGGATGGCATGCTATTGACATGTTTGCCACCATTGTGGTATGTTCTTCAGTCTTCTACGAGGAAACTAGAGCAGTAAAATTGTCACATTCTTTGCTGTGTTTCTAGTCTATCATACGCCTTTAATTATAATTTTTTGTTGCATTTTTATTTATACTAAGGTAGTCGTAGTAATGAATGTACTGTGGTCTGAGAGAGTAATTGGTGATCTTGAGGGATTGAAGCATAGTGGTATTGGATTGAGAACTAACTCAAGTAACAGATCATCCATTAAATAGTCATTGCAAACATTCTACTCTAGCTGTATTTTAGGTGCATTTAAGTCATTGAGATACAAAGATTTTGTGTCTGGGAAATATATAACTACTGTATAGTGCTTTGGTGGCAAATTATGTTGTAATCAAAGTGCAATGAGTATCTATTATGTTTGATAGAATTTTAACTAGAATACTGTTCTTGAGTTACTTTGTATTGAGAGTAAACACTGATGTGAATGACATAGAGCTTTTACTTTAGTGCAACTATTTACTTGTTACAATTATTCCCTATATAGTATTAGTTTTTTCAGCGTGACTGAAGGATAATCAATTATTCACGTGAACACAGTGAATATTAAAAGAAGACTCAAAGAGCATTTGCTATTGTTCGTAAACATTGAAAATCTTCAAATATTATTATAACAGTTCAATGACAACTTATTTGGAGAATTAGTAAGTAACTTTAAAATGAATATGATCGCACAACATATCCATTCTGTTCCTTCCCTTATGAAAACATCCTACATAACTGTAAACATGTTGTCTCATAAAATTATGAAGAAATCGCATTAGTTTAAACTGTATATTCAAATAGGTTTATGCAAATCTTAGACATTACTTATTACAGTAAGCTTTCTCAAATGTACTTCAAAATATGTAACTCTGCATTCACATTCTCTATAGAACTGTGGATATGTTAGATTTGATAGTAGTACCCAGGCATAATTTGAACTTATCTGATATAACACTGTGATAATTATTCTATTGTATCATTGGCTGGTCATTGTCTCAGTGCTCTCTAGTGGCTGGGCATTTCACCTTTGGTCTCTCATCTATTTCGATGATTGTCTCGGGTGGAGCTTTAGTTCAGGGTGCTGTATTGGTATGGATTCTACTGGCTCACAGGTTTGCTTCGTGTAATGTTCCTTTGTTACTTTTTGGAAGAAGTTGACACTGTTACTTGAAATCTTATCGTTTTTTTCTCTATTGTAGTGTGACTGTTGGAGCTCTTGGCATACTATATCCACTTCTCGTTGCAGCCTTGTGGGGCATAGGTGATGGAGTCTTGAATACCCAGCTAAGTGCATTGCTCGGGATACTCTTCAAGGATGATCTGGTACTCATTTTCCAACTTCTCCCTACATTTTTGTCTTTCGTTGGATGATCGTTTTCTTTACACTAAACATCTAATCATTTGGTGCTTAAACAGGAAGGAGCATTTGCCCAACTTAAGCTTTGGCAGAGCTTTGCAATTGCCATAGTCTTTTTCCTCGCCCCCTACATCTCGTTGCAGACAATGTTAGTGATTATGTTCGTTGCCCTTTGCTTCTCCGCTCTTGGTTTTCTTTTCTTAACTCTTAAAGTAGAAAGAGCATTCTCGTATTGACCTGCCTAAGGCGATGCCAATAGTGTTGTATCGGCTATGCTATCGTCTAGTTCTGCTGTGTTTATAATACATCTTTGTATTTAGATTTGAACTTGCCCCATGCAGTGTTTTCTGTTCATTGAGTTCTTAAGAAATCCATTTCACATTATCTTTTCTCTGCTATGTTCTTTCCCTTAGTTTCAGTTGAATTATACTCCCTTTGTTGCAATTTGTTTACCTGAGTTTTGACTTAGCACGGAGTTTAGATAAAAACTTGATTATCTAAATGAAGAATAATATAGGAGCGGTATATCATCGATCGAGTTTTGTATTATGTTTTGCAACTTTCTCAGTTATAGAGGGGGAAAGGCATAATATATAAGCATGACCTTTAACTTGACGTCAGCTAGCAACTATCGATTTTTTTTTTCACTTTGGGTGTCCACAAGCAGACATTAAAACTCGTAAAAAGTTGAACAAATCGACACATTAATTCTACATGACAATTTTGTGTCCTGCATGACATCCTACGTGCATTATGCCATGTAGGACATCCGTGCCTATTTGTTCAATTTTATACAAGTTTAAGTGTCTATTTGTACACACTCAAAGTTGGAGGGCATAGTTATCCACTGAAATCAAGTTAAGGGTCATCTTCATAATACCTAAATGTGTTTTATGGATATTTAAAGTTGATCAAGTAGACACATATTTTACGTGACTCTATGTGTATTATGTATTATTTGTTCACTTTTATATAAATTTAAGTATCTATTTGCGTATATTCAAGTTACGATCAAGTTAATTATGCCAAAAAAAAAGAGAGTAACTTCCATCCAACCTTTAATCACATTGAGTTAATGGAAGTGCCATTGTTATCATAGTCATTATGATTATCATTATCATCATAATTATTATTGTCACTGTCATTATTTCATTATCATTATTTTATCTTTATTTTTCGTTTTATTCTCATTTTTTCTGTGCTATATAATGAAGGGAAAAAAAAACACATAAATTGATGGTCAAAGTGCAATATATTACTGTCATGTTGAGCACTTAATATTTTTTAAAATCACATTTACATTAAAATTATGAAATAATTGTCATATTTTTTCTCACCAAACCCACATACCAAATAAATTAAAATAATATAATGCCATGTCTACGCTGTCCAGCAAAAATAGTAGTTTTTTTATAGTTGCAACCCTCTCCTTTTTTATCTCACCAAACTATCAATTTTTATATATATATGTATATATATATATATATATATATATATATATATATA